CACAGGCCCTCATTACGAGGCCGCAGTCAGTCCAGCGCTGTGCCGTGCAGGAGTGCAGCGAGGAGCAACACACACACACCCCCAGAGAGCAGAGCGCGCCAGCTCTGACAGGCTTGCTGGAGGGGGCACTTTCAAGCTTCTGTCACCACAGTCATCACCTCCCTCTGCCAACACACTGCATCTCATTTCCATACTCAGCACTCGACAGGGGGGGACGTGGAGCGCAAACCCGGAGAAGAAAGAGAGGCGAGAGGGGGAGAGAGGAGCGCAGGCAGGCAGGCAGAGAGATGTACAAAGTGCAGCTCTCCCCAGCTACCAGGAATCCCCCAGAGGAACTGTTAGCAGCACAGAGCGGCGCGATCTGCACTCTGTCATTAAGAAGAAGAATGTACAGTTACACTCTCTCTCCCTGCTCATTAATTTCCTTCTGTTTCACAAGGAGAGAGGCTCTTCAATCCGTCTCTGGTCCGCACCCCCACCGGTGACCCAAAAACCCGCACACAGGCCCGAACGCAGCAGGGCTCGGAGTGACACTGAGGCGAAGGGTCTGGGTCCGGTCCAGTTCGCTGTGCCACGAGGCGCTGCGGGCTTCAGCACAGACGCCACCGCTAAAGTGTACTTCCTTTCAGCCGCCTCCTTCCACGCCAATGTGCTCAAAATCGGGGAACGAGCCCCGGACGCCCGCTGCCCGGCACTGCCTCGCCAACGCCAGGCCGAGCAGCGAAGTGGCCCAGCGACGGCTCCAACACGTCGGCCAGCGGTGCAAACGGGGCGCCGCGGGGGAGCCCATGTGTCAGGGCTGGAGGGGTGTGAAACGATCGCGCCAGCCCTGGGGACGGGGGGGTAACAGACGCCCCCGAAGCTGACCCCCCACGCTGCTCGAGGCTCCCGCGCACGCTGCTGGGGACAGACCCAGGTCAGCAGGCCAGCAGACACCCGACTCGGAGCGCCGCGGTTCAGCACTCGCTGGAACGTGTTCGAGACCCACCACGCCACACAGGCGCAGACAATGCAGACATGGACAGGCTGCTGCGCTTGTATGCTAATTACTGTGATTATTTCCTACAGCTGGGAACAGCAGCCAGTGATTCATGTGGTTTCTCCCCTGAAACGGGCGCGGGGCTGCTAACGAGCGTGCCGGAGCGAGGGAGGCGGTGGGGGGGAGCCCCCGGTGCGATCGAGGAGCTTGCCAGCGAGATGAAACGAAATCCTCTTTGAAGAGGACAGAAAAAGAAAGGCTAAATCGAAAAATAAATCACAGCAGCGAGCGGAACCCTCTGATCG